TTGTAAAGTTGGTGTGACTTTCACAGACACTAGGAAATTTGACCTTTTCAACTTCTCCGAGGAGTTGCGGTCACCTAATCCAAACTCTTGGGACCGGTGCTAGTTGTGGTCGTGTGGACCCTGAGCGGCCCCTATTTTGACTGGTATGCAGAGGATTTGTCATTGATAGGTGCTCATTCTCGAACGCCTTCCGATGAAGTAAGTCGATTCTGTGTAAGAGTCATGCGTACTATCGCTCTTTGCGAACGCAGCTTTGCAGCAGATTTCTGGTTATACCTAGCGGTCAGTTGGGTGTCTGACAGAGCGACCCCAAAAGGTTTTTAGATTGAACTTTCATAAACGTGTCAAAAGTGGCGACGCTTGTCTGATCGTGTGAACACCACCACAATTATTGGCATTCTGCGCAGCGAAGGGGTGTGGGAGCTAACGATGAAGGGGTTGTTCTCGTGCAGTGTCTTCCCCCCAGACTGGAGGATCTTTGCTTCGCAAGGGGTCGATTTCGAGTAAATTGGCAAGCGCATATTTTCTTGCTCGCAGTCGAATGAACAACTTGACCGGAAGACGCGAGCGCACACAGGGCTGACGTTCACCGATCTATCTCGGCTGCAGAGTCAAATACGGACATTCCTAGAGCCGGGACCCGTGGTCGGATAGCTGCGAGCAATTACTGATGACTCGGTCGGCCATTTTCGACTTATTTGACGTTTTCAGCCGGTAACACACTGTGCACAGACCGGCTCGGACAGTAGACAGGTGCTGGGGGTGGGAAGAGAGAGAGAGAGATCAACAGTCTCCGCGCACTTTCCTCATTATAAACAATCTGATGCTTCTTGCGCCATCACGGTACGCTAAAAGCCATGGATTGGAAGGTTATCAACTGTCGCGGCAACTTGGACCGCGTAGTCAGCTCAGTGTGATTGTGTGTGGAGTGGCAGATTGGGGGACTGACAGTGAAGCTGCAATGGCTCCTTTTGGTACTTCCACTTGGTGAGATCCGAGTTTCCCTTCTATTATTGTGTGTAAAATCGTGGTCGCTGTGAGTTGTGGTGGTACGCCTAGGTGCAGGTTGTCGCCGTGCCAGCTATCTGTGGCTTCTCGCGCCTCCGATTTCCTTGACTCTGTCTTGACACCGGGCACAGGCGGGGTGGGGGGGGGGGG